TCCCCAATTTATCAATTCGCGCTTGTGTCGGCTGCTGAATTGAAGCAAATTTGCAGTGGGTGTGACAGCATTGTTACATCGTGATCAAAGCATAATTGAATAGCAGACATGTGCGCGCACGCGCGCACGATGCTGATATAATGCCAATATACAAGAATCAGTGGTATCTACATCATGATTAACGAGCGTAATACTGCATTCAAACACTGCAAATAACGTAAGCTAGTCCACTGTTGGCAGCATCAGCCGAATACATAGTTTATTTTGCTTACATCAGCCTGCAAACTGTACGCAAAGGGAGGAAGATATATATTGCGCAGTCGGACCTGGAAGCTCAGTGCATAGCTTTAACGACCACGTGCGCAACTTGCCCAAGTGATGCGAGCTATCATGCCGGTACAATAAGCTCCAAGCGCCGCAGCTTCCACCCATACCTGCTTCGACATCGCTGCACACATCACAGCCGCATTTGCAAACCCGCTGTGCATTTTTAATGATATGCAAACTGTGTATGCCAAAAGAATGTCGAAATTCATTTAAGCCATCGAATTAATATTTAAAGGGTTTATATTATTCCGGGAGCAAATGTTGATTGTTCGTCCGGGAACAATCAAGTTATGACATCTATTTCAGGAACAATGAATATTGCTGGAGGGAATTTAGATTGTTTCTGGAACAATCATTATTTGTTATTTGAATATGTAAATTACTGTATTATTTCAGGAACAATGAATATTCCCGGGGCAAATATTGATTGTTCCCCCAATATTCCCGCGGCAAATATTGATTGTTCCAAATACTCATAATTTGCTACTGGAACCGAGTGCAATTCCCGCGTGCTTCATTGTTCCCGGAACAATAAACTGTGATGCGCCCATGGCATGCATCGGTTGTTCCAGAAATCCGCGCATGAATCCAGGTGTCACGGTTTACTCAGGGAATCATCATAATTTGCCACCGGAAAAAGGTAAAATCTTTATTTAAACATCGATATGTGAACGATGCGCATAGCCGATTTGCAACCGTCTAGCTCACACAACAACAGGGCTTCTACGTTTTCTACGCCATTGCAAAATATGCATCATTGTCCAACAGCACAACGACACACACACACACACACCACACACACATACACACACACACACACACACGCACACACATATATATGTTACATAATGCGTCAATCAGAAGCAATCGACACGATATATGCATACATAGGGGTGTTTTGCAGCATACTTAGACGGCCCCATCATGATGTAATGCCGCAAAAGCATACATCGTACAAAGACGGAAAATATCGTCGAAATATACGACGATGCAACCGTGTGCTGTAAGGTTTAGCAAAAACCCCAAACCCTAAAGCCCCCAGAGTGTCGGAGATTGTGTTCGGGAACGGCCGGTGCTAGATAGGCCGTCGAAACATTAATTCCAAGCCAGTAAGGTAGACACAATTGCGGTAGAGTGCCTTCATTACTCAGTACGCGTCACTATTACCGTCGAAGATCGTTTTGTAGCCTGGTCTCAGTTCATGCATTCCATATCTCCCTTAATGAGAAAGCGAAGTACACTCATTATGCACCATATCGTTTTTGCGGTAGGGAGAAGCGCAGTAATCAGTTTATTATTATCATTACGTTCGTTGCATAGCATATAGCAGACTGATTAGTCCATCCGCGCGCATACATATATGTATGCAAGCGAGCTGACCAATATCGTAGCATGCGTTGGCTGTTCTCACTATCTATATATGTCAGCATGTAGTTGCCGCAGAACATATTGCTATCGACTTGCTGATATGCGAATAGTATACCTGAATCCATGATTGAGGATGCCATCGGAAAACGATCCATCTGGAATGGGTGCCCCAGAAATAGCATCATACTGATCAAAGTCGTTGACTGAGTGATTCCGCATAAGAGCTTCAAGGCTTGATCCACCTTGCTTGTTTTCGAAGCTCACATTTAAAAACGTCGTGGACAAGTATACCCCATCGTCAGTTTCGCTGACGCCGGTAGATTGTAAAGGGTGACCATTGAATAGCATTGCCGTGGACGGCCGTGTGAAGCTATTGTTTGCAACGAGCATTACTTGCAGGGTCGACAGGTCGACATCTTCCATGTAAAGGCTCACAATTATCCGATTAACACGGACGCAGTCGTGATTCACCAACATGTCTGCGCGTCAAAACATTGTAGCTACACATAGTAAGCATGCATGTGTGTGTATGCGTATGCACCAGCTTTCATTAATCGCCGCTTCCGACATCAACTTAATTCCACTTATCTAATATTAATGCATGACACGGTCATGCGGACGAGGGTGCGGTCCAGGATATCTGTTCGCCAATAATGCGCGCGTGTGTCCGCATCATTCTTGTCACATATGTACTTCCAAGCATGCGTCGCTTAGGCACGCTTATGATCTCATATGCTGAACGGTCGATTTTCCATACAGTTGCAAGCCGATGGTGCATTTATGATATACATTGCAGCCTACGCAACACTGCAACTACTGGCTTATTACACGCTCTTAACACGTGCAAATAAATTGCGTCGCATACATTGATGCAGGATCACGTAATATAGTGCGTCTTTAAGCATGCTCTACATCTCAGCGGAACACCGCAGCGCGCTGCGCAAGACACCACTTACCGCTGGATTTCCATTCTGCGTCATTGTGGGCGCTGACCGTTGCTGGTAAATCATCGGTAACAGTGACTTCTACAATTTTACACGCGGAGTGAAGCACGGATTGTTGTGATGCGCTGGACAACGCGCATAAAGAAAACATAAAAACCACGGCGGCGACAGGGTGTACTTGTGCACGAAATTTATGCATAACATCGCTGACGGTATATATGTACATGACTGATGATGTGCGCTCGCCGCCTGCGCGTGAATATATACGCCCAGCTTCCCCCGGAACTCGGACCTAGGTATCAATCGTGTGAGCTATTATCTCCTTTGCCTGAAAGAAGCTAATAACTTCTCTGGCAAAAGCAGCCAGCGTCGCGCCGCCCATATACGCGTTTTGGTTATTATGCGTGCAACGCGGTGTGTACGTTATTTACGAATATGGGCTGCGCGGTGAGCGAGAGAGGTGTTGCTGCTATGTATGGTGGTCGCACTCGGTCACGTACGACTCGAGTTTCAGGAAATGGAGAGCTCTCGGATCGAAATAAAAGTTGTCGGTCGAACGTCATCGTCAGGCGAATGCATAGCTATGCGATATGATTGGTTGCGTTCACAGGCGAATACATAGCTGCGGCATATGATTGGTTTTTCTTGTTCGAATCGGTTTGTGCAGGCGAGGGGTTTGAACTCTCGAGCATAATTCCCTTTAATGTTACGTGTTACCCATTATTCCCTAGCTCTATGAGCTAGGGAAACAACATTATAATAGCACCGAAGGTGCATCTATTCCTCTCGTCCGAAAATGGAAGAAGAAAGCACACAATTCTCCACATCCCATAATTTACATTACACATTACATGTTTACACGTTCCATATTTAACACAAGTATGTGTTCAAAGCTCAAATCGCAACGAGCGACGATACGGACCAATTTTCGATCTGATGATCAGCAAACGACAACGATGACAGTGCCATCGCATTCGTGTACATTTACCACGACGCCACCCACGCTCCATGGCATGACATAACATGGCATGGCATAAAATTGGGACTCAAACCCAAATGCACTGTCGCACACTGACATCTCACATGCAAATGGAACTCAAATCGAAACCCACACAGATGTTGTTTCATCCAGAGAACAAATTCCTTTCATTCGTATCATACTGCCACGCCATCCTTCCCATGCGACACGTTGGGTCGTCTGTAAATTGTTAATGTTTAAAATATGAAATGCATCGCTTAATTTGTTAAATATGAAACACAATGTCGACATGGTAAATATTGAACATATGGTTCATGTATTCAATATGGAACAATTTTAATGTGTAAAATATGGAACATGTTTCTGTGTTAAATATGTAACATAGTGCGGATGTGTTAAATATGGAACATATTGTTGATGTGTTAAATATGAAACATATTGTTGATGTGTTAAATATGGAACATATTGTTGATGTATTAAATATGGAATTTATTTAAGAGAGAGAGAGAGAGCGAGAGATATATACATTTATATTTATATTTATAAACTCGTTTTCAACTCGATATACACGCATATCGTCGTGAACGCAAACCGGCGACGATCTTCGCGATCACCACATGGAATATAGATCAGCGGAAACGATGTCCGTCGCGAATCACCCATTTTTCTCATGTCCAAATATTTATATTCCGAGTTAGCATCGCGCACTCGTAATATCCGCGGCATTTAAACGTGCTCGGCGTCCGACGAAAATGGCGAATCGCCATGTTCGCTATGCTCGTCGCTATGCTCGTCGCTATGTTCGTCGCTGTGCTCGTCGCTATGAGCGTCGCTATGCTCGTCGCCGTGAAACGGCGGCATTGTTGACGCGAGACTTGTCGGCGCTTTTAACCATTTTACTGGTGCGTCTGCTGCTGCGTTTGCTTTTGCTGCTGCTTCTACTGCTTCTGCTGCTGCTTTGCTTTTACGCCTGGCATGTAGCGCTTTTCTTTATTCTTTCTTCAGCTGCTTCCTTACGATGCTTATGGCATTGCTTTATTGTTTTTCTTAGCATTCTTCTTACATTCTTGCCTGCTTCTTTGCTTACGTTTACTACTTTGCTTTCTTCTTCTTCTTTAGCTATTCTTTTGCTTCTTACGCGTTTTGCCTGGCTGTGAGCTTTTGCTACTGCTACTGCTTCTCTGCTGCTGCTTTGCTTGCTGCTTTTCCTGCTTTTCCTGCTTCTTTTGCTTTTGCGTTTGCTGCTTCTGCTGTTTCTTTTGCTTTTGCTTGTGCTTTTGCTTCTGCTTCTGCTTTTTCTCCTTATGTTTCTTACAGTTATATAAATTAGGGGAAGGAATATTCGAGTATGACAGTTCGATTCCAACAACCAGGCGAAAAGTTGCCCAGATCAGGAATCGAACCGGAGACCTTCGCGATACCAGTGCGACGCTCTACCAACTGAGCTATCGGGGCCAATTGATATTAACTCCGATCCTCTTGCGGTATTCATACTCGACGATCCCCTAACATCTCCCCTCTCAAATGAATCGACACCTGACGATTCGTGTTCCAGTTCTTGATCAGAGAATTATCGCGAATGTGATGACGTGGCAACTCACTGTCCAGGATTTGATTAGGGGATGACGCCCCCGCAGTTCTCGGGTTGCAGCCCATCGAGTCCACGTCACCAGCGCAGGTCACATCGTGCCCATACGCCGTTACACCCGAAACGTCACTCTGATCCCTTACGAGAATACCAATCTTACAGTTATATAAATTAGGGGAAGGAATATTCGAGTATGACAGTTCGATTCCAATAACCAGGCGAAAAGTTGCCCAGATCAGGAATCGAACCGGAGACCTTCGCGATACCAGTGCGACGCTCTACCAACTGAGCTATCGGGGCTGATTGATATCAACTCTGATCCTCTTGCGGTATTCATACTCGACGATCCTCTAACAATGTTGCTGCTTCTCCTTCTGCTGCATCTTAAAAAAAAACCGTCTCAAATTCGATATCACGATAGCCACACCTTCCAGTCGTGCTTTTAAAAGTGCGTCGTCGCCACTACTACGCTCGCTCTTTAGACGCTCGAGCGCGGCCTTTATCAGCTCGACGGAGACTTTTTTAAATTGAGTTGTATTATGTTCATCATCAATACCGTCATAGACAATATCGCCGTCGTCGCCATAGACTTCATATTGTTGCATGAAATTATGGAACAGATCGGCGACGTCGACTTTTGATCTAACTGCAGTCTCATCTGCACGCGCACACGCACCGACTCGCGCATCACCGACCACGATCGTTCTAAAAGCATACATTTGCGGGGACCGCCGAACAAATCCACGAAGTACAAACACGGCGCCGTCGTCCAATACGCATTCTGTCTGTCAGGTGTATTACTTTATCGTCGATACGGTGATACGTTTGGTATGATGCGCCCTCACCCTAGCTCCGCGATAGACCCGGGGTGGTGCCACTCACTCGTTTTATTTGTGGTTGACGACGACGATGGTATAAGCGCGATACGGTTTTTGAATCTTTCGACCATCTTCTTGTTCGACATCTGCTTGTTTGTACCAAAGATTTTGCGTTTAAATTCCTCGAGGCCGACATCTAGGTATTTCCTTAGTTTTTGGTCATACTTCTCGATATTGTCGATCATCTCCTTCTCCTCCTAACTCTTTTCCTGCTCGCCACTCTTTTCCTCTTCATTCTCATTCTTTTTCTGCTTGTCGTTATGTTCTACTTATTGCTATCATAAGCAATCGAAATTCACTCTCGAATCGCCTCGAATTGTATGATGGTGGGGGAAAATTGTACCGCACGTGCCACGATCACGATAACAAGTTCTTACCTCGTTTTCAGACTTCCAAGTGTTCCATGCGCCGTTATTTGCCCTGAATATCTCAAGAAACAATCGCGGATCCTTCTCGGCGGTTGCCAAGCTATTTAAAGCTGTAATCTGTCGACTCGTGCACATACCCCCACCCCCCCCCCCACGATGACAACATGAGTGTTTTCTCTCAATGACACGGCGATGACACAATTTTCATGACACACCGGTGTACCCGTAGAAGCAAACAGTTTCAAACTGTCAAAACCTCGAATAGGTTCTGGAGCCTCGGTTTCATTCACTTTCCTAGCCCCGAGAGCGCTGCTCTCTTCTTTAGAGTTTGCAAAACGCATAGTCGTCGACTTGCGGGTGGCTCATCGTTCTGTTCACTCGAGAAGCTACGCGACACTTACCCAATCTGGCATCGCCGTCAAGACCGTGACCATAGTGCTTGTCGTTAATTCGAGCTTTCGTTGCAGACCGCTGGACATTGTGGTATTTATAAGCGAGTCCAACAATCAACCCTGCGAAGTCCGAAAATCATGGGTGTCCAAATTCGCGTAACGAAGTGCACGTCGCGTCGCGCGCGGGACGACACGACGGCCCCTGCATCAACGCGCGGAACCTCCTCACGGGCAGGTGGCGATCGAGGAATTGGTTTATTACGCAATCGCGGAGTGTTTGCGTTTGTCTCCAATCTAGATTGGGTATTGCAGTCGATACGCGCTGCGGTTGACATGACCGACGACGCGGCGAGTTTGATACCATCCGCTATCGAATCATCACCGTCGTCGATGCATGATCACACACTGTCGGTGCAGCGTGATCGTGAGGGAACGCTGCGACGCCTTCAATTGGGGTTAAGATCGCAGTCGAATGAACTCTGACTCGCCGCTTTGCACAATGGAAACATCGTGATAACGGTCTCGGGACAAACCTCGAGGGTATTACGTTCTGACAAAGTACACGTGCGACAATTCTTGCACGTGGTTTCCGCGATACTTGCGACGCATTCAAAGAATAATATCGACAGCTCTGTAGCAACTAAGACTCGAACAAGCATGCTTACGTTACGCTCCATCGCGGAAGTTGTCCACGCAGATCCACCGGTATTGTTCTTGTATCGTGATACGGACGATTTTGTTATATTGACGGAGGTGAGCGCTCGATGCTCTGATGATGATGATGATGATGTTGTTAATTTCGTCAATCACGTCTCGCATCGTCGGCGGAGGGTATGATGATGATGATGATGCTGACGACGATGATGCTGATGATGTGTGTGCGTGTGTGTGTGTGTGTGTGTGTGATGTATGGGTGTGCTTGCGCAGTCCACTTCAAAGACGAGAGGGCGGTATGATGTGTCTTACAAAGGTTGGAGGACGCGAATCAGTTCTGCGATTACTGTCTCGACTTACCGTCGCTCGCGCGGTTCGATTCATGTGATTTGGAGTCATTTTACCATCCACGACAACGCCATTTCAACGATTCGGGAGAAATAACGGAGAGTATGCGATTATATCGCGCGTTTGGCGTTCGAGCACACCCTTTCGTGACTCCCGAATATGAATTGGTTACTCGAGATGGGGAATTTATTTGCCTCGACGTCGTCTCACGGTTAGGTGTGTTTTGTCACGCTTCGTTGAATTGCGACATCGACGACGGCTTAGATGCGGGCGAAGAATCGGCACGTAGTCGCGCATTTCAATTTCTTCGAACGCGATTTCTGGGTCTTCTCGCTTTCTCGTTTACGCTTTCTCCTCTCTGCTTCTACCAGCTCGAGGCGATGACGGAACGTGCCCTGCTGAATACCCCGACGTCGCAAATACGACGTCATTTCATGTTATTGGGTAGTGACGATCTATGCGATCAAACACGGGGTGCGTTCTTTTTTGAAGTGTTGGATAGTTGAAGATTTCTCGGCGTCGATGATAATCCGATAATACACGCGCAGGTATATTGTCGTGGCTATTCACCGTGATGGCCGCATATTTTGTAATGGATGGGGTTCCGCTTTTCATATTCGACCGCGAGGTAAATAAGCGTCAACCACCTCTCACCTCTGAACTGGAGTCGTCGTCGTCGTCTTGCATTCATCACGCGCCACATTCCGACTGACACATTCCGAATAGCCGTATCATCATTATTCCACAGGATGTTCTCCGACGCGTGTTATGCTTACTCTTTGACACCGATGTGCCAGGAGGTATTTATAGATCCTGCATGACATGATGACGAACCGATTCGAATGTACATTAGGCGGGAATATACAGACGAATCGAATATCGATGTCTGCTGAAGCAACGGTAAAAGGGAAGCCGACAGCTGTCGGCTTAGCCAGTTTACACTTTGATACAGACCTTATTCCGTTCTAACACAACATCCCGATTATCGTACATTGCCCTATGTATACATTCTCAGTAATGCATTATTTCACAACGATATGCTCCTAATCATCTTAGACACCATATCATCACTCTCGTAATCTGATCGTCGTAACGTATCGTCATCAGTGTCCTCACGGATAAGCTAATACGTTACTTGTGCATTAATAGTATCCGATAGTCATTCAGTAGCTATGCCTTGTACCGACCCGGTGCAATTTGGTATCAGATGTGGTTACGAGCACGGATTCTCGTAAAGTAGTTGCATAGTTTGCTGGTATGGGGTACCCTAGCAGTGCTTCGACCCCCTAGTAGTTAGACTATCTCTAGTTACGTGTGTCACACGTAGCAGATTCAGATCTGGCTCCGAACCCTAAACCCTAAACCCTAACGGCTATATCTGGACAGCCGTTAGCGGTTCAGTTGACTTTCGAGTTATTCGTATTCTGGTTTATCCTATATCCGAGTATATCACTTGCCCACTATATACTCACAGGTAGTGGACCTCATCCACACTTTCCACTGATTGTTTTAGCCATGATTGGCTGAACACTCGCAGTTTGGGGCGCCAACGCCGGTGCCCGGCGCTAGACGCTCTGGTGAATTGAGCGGTTTCGCGCTTTGAGGCGAGGGACGTTTCTGGTTGGATCGGAAGCTTACGACTTGGACGACGACGATCGACACCGCATTTCTGGACGTGAAAAGGGACTGGTGATGCTGTGCTCTCTCCCCCAGTAGCATGCGCGCCAGAGCGACCAAGTTGAGTCCAATATCTTCGACCAGAACCCTGACGCCACATTCCGTGATTTGCTTTTCGCTCCGCTTGATTTATCAGAGCTCGCCGGGCGCCCTGGCGGGCGCTCCACGAGGGACTATCAGAGATGGGTACACCGTCTCCAAATTCGACTACGCCGGACCCTTCCGGTTTGCAACCGGTGGCGCCTTCAGCTCCACCTCCAGTGTCAAGGCGCATTCGCCTCGACACGATCTTCACTATCGACCCCAGGGCGCATTACGCGAAGCCCCCGGCGACGCCTGGATTAGTCATCACCGCTGCTGCGAAGAAGGCTATTCGGCAGCTGCACAAGGAAGGATTCGAAGGAACGGTGGCGAAGAACGTTTTATCTTCGGTCCTTGGCGCAAAGGACGCGCGCTTCACCGCTGGCGAGAAGCACGCCGATCTGATTTGGCTTCACTTGGTGGAGGCTATCGAAAAGCACTTCGTGAACGAGATCGACTACTTCGTGGA